AAAAAAAAAAAAAAAAAAAATAGTAGTCCATAATCATGTGTGAACAGTCAGAAAATACCAATAAGTCAAAAAACAAAGGACACCTTCATGACCCGTGTTCCCCAGGAGCTGTTGTCCCAGGCTGGCATGACAGCATCTCCTCATTGGCAGGTGTGATTCTGCTGCGGCTCGACCGGCTCCGGCAGGCTGGTTGGGAGCAGATGTGGAGGCTGACGGCCAGGCGGGAGCTCCTTACCCTACCTGCCACCTCACTGGCCGACCAGGTCTGGGGAAGCCTTGCTGGGTTGGGGGTGGCAGGTTGGGGGCTGGGGTGTGATGGGTGTCTCTGCTCAGGACATCTTTAACGCTGTGATCAAGGAGCACCCAGGGCTGGTGCAGCCTCTACCCTGCGTCTGGAATGTGCAGCTGTCCGACCACACACTGGCTGAGCGCTGCTACTCTGAGGCGTCTGATCTCAAGGTGAGTGGGACAGGAGGCTGCATGGTGGTGGGGGGCCACGGATGGGGACTCCTGCTCCCTGCTCCCATAGCCCCAACACTCTCCTGGGTCCCAGGTGATCCACTGGAACTCACCAAAGAAGCTTCGGGTGAAAAACAAGCACGTGAAGTTATTCCGCAATTTCTACCTGACCTTCCTGGAGTACGATGGGAACCTGCTGCGGAGAGGGCTCTTTGGGTGCCCCAGCCAGCCCCCGTCTGGTGCTGAGCAGGTGAGAGGGAGCCACCTTCCCCTGCCCCTCTGCTCTGGTGGGACCCAGCCTTGTCTGGGGGACATGTCCTTCTGCCCTACCCCAGTCCTTCTCACCCCTGGCCCCCTCAGTTGCAGCAAGCCCTGGCACAGCTCAATGAGGAAGACCCCTGCTTTGAGTTCCGGCAGCAGCAGCTCACTGTGCACCGCGTGCACGTCACCTTCCTGCCTCATGAGCCACCACCCTCCCAGCCTCACGATGTCACCCTTGTGGCCCAGTTGTCCATGGACCGGTGAGGGTGCAGAGGGCAGCCCAGGGAGTATGGCACGGGCTGGGGTTGGATACTTCTGAGCGGAGGTTCCATCTGGCAGCCTGATGCTGTAGCAGTGAGCTGCCTGGCCCTCAAGGAGTTCCAGAAGTTGGAGACATTGGATGTGGTGCAAAGAGCTTGGGCACTGGAGTCATCCAGATGCCCAGAACTGCCCCTCGGTCGCTGTGGGACCATGGGCAAGTCTTCATATCTCTGGCCCTTAGTTTTCTCTCTCCAAGGAGAAGGTACCCACCTAGTGGGGTAGTTGTGAAGATTCAATCAGACTGGCTCTAAAAGTGCTTGAAGGGTGCTCAGTAAGTCACTTGAGGAGGGGGCAGCAGCTAACTGGGGAGGTTGTCCAGGCCTCCCTGAGCTCCTGTGTCAGCTGTGCTGACCTCCCGTCTCCCTAGGCTGCAGATGTTGGAAGCCCTGTGCAGGCACTGGCCGGGCCCCATGAGCCTGGCCTTGTACCTGACAGACGCAGAAGCCCAGCAGTTCCTGCGTTTCGTTGAGGCCTCCCCAGTGCTCGCTGCCCGGCAGGATGTGGCCTACCACGTGGTGTACCGTGAGGGGCCCCTGTACCCTGTCAACCAGCTCCGCAATGTGGCCTTAGCTCAGGCCCTCACACCTTACGTCTTCCTCAGTGACATTGACTTCCTGCCTGCCTATTCTCTCTACGACTACCTCAGGTGGGTCTGGGGTGGATGTGGACAGGGCATGCACGGGACCCGGGGTTTCTAAGTCTCTGCCCCTTTCTGGGCCACAGTGGCCTCTGTCAAGTGGGGTTTGTATTAGGTAGGCTGTTTCTCTGGGCTGCCAACAGGGGAGGGCAGGACCTGCTTCAGCAGCAGCTCCACCTGCGCTTGTGCCCACCCATCGCATCAGGCAAGATGGCCTGTAGGGGTCAGGTCCTATGGCTAACGCCCCCATGAGGGTCACTGGCCCAGTCCTGGAGGCCCCGCTCCTCTCCCCTGCTCATGGGTGCTCCTCCTCAGGGCCTCCATTGAGCAGCTGGGGCTGGGCAGCCGGCGGAAGGCAGCGCTGGTGGTGCCAGCATTCGAGACCCTGCACTATCGCTTCAGCTTCCCCCCTTCCAAGGTGGAGCTGCTGGCCTTGCTGGACGCAGGCGCTCTCTACACCTTCAGGTAGGTGGGGCTTCTTCTCTGGCCACGCCACTCACTTGCCCACACTGGCCCCTGCTGTCCACGAGCTCCTAGCCTCAGCCTGGCTTCCATCCGACCCTGCCGCACAGGTACCACGAGTGGCCCCGGGGCCACGCACCCACAGACTATGCCCGCTGGCGGGAGGCTCAGGCCCCATACGGTGTGCAGTGGGTGGCCAACTATGAACCCTATGTGGTGGTGCCACGTGACTGTCCCCGCTATGACCCTCGATTTGTGGGCTTCGGCTGGAACAAGGTGGCCCACATCGTGGAGCTGGATGCCCAGGTGAGGAGGGTGCCTTGCTGCCACCACCTTTGATTTGAGCACCTCCAGGTCTGTGGAACTCAGGACACCTCTGCCTGGGGGACCACATCGCTAGGCAGCACTGTTAGAAAGATTCCCCCTTCTGCAGAACTAAAATCCTCTGCCCTTTGGCCCTTGCTTTAGCTCTTGGGTATACAGGGTAAGCCTGGAGCTGCACCTTCCCCAAAGGCCAGGCAAGCCAGGCAGCCACTGCTCCTCTGCCCCACCCTGCAGGAATATGAGTTCCTGGTGCTGCCCGAGGCCTTCACCATCCATCTGCCCCACACTCCAAGCCTGGACATCTCTCGCTTCCGCTCCAGCCCCACCTATCGTGGCTGCCTCCAGGCCCTCAAGGACGAATTCCACCAGGACTTGTCCCGCCGCTATGGGGCTGCTGCCCTCAAATACCTCCCAGCCCTGCAGCAGCCCTGGAGCCCTGCCCGAGGCTCCTGAGGCTGCCCCTCTGTGCACTGGGCAGACACCAGGGCAACCCAGCCTGCCCTCCGCTATCCCTGCTATTTAAATTATTTAAGGTCTCTGGGAAGGGCTGGGGAGGAGCATCTGTGGGGTGGGGTCTTCCCCTTGCTGCTATTGTATGGCTGGGGTCTGGCCTCCCTCTGCCCCAGACAGTTCGGGGCTGGTTCCCCCAACTTCAATTGTTCATCCCTTTTTCATAATTAAAGTTTTAAAAAATCCTTTTTGTGTTCCTCCTAGTTTGGGGGAGCAAGGGTGCTCTAGGGCTAGGGTGTCAGTGCACAAGGGAGGTGCTACATCCAGCAGCTGGGGTCACAGGAGGGCCTGGGCTCTTAAGGGAAAGCCTCCCATACCAGCCAGCCAGCCAGGGAGGGCAGAGGCTGGCGCTGGAATGTGTCTTGCCCACCCTCCCCTGCCCCAAACCCAACACCATGAGGCTAAGAGGCTTTATTTGGCTTTATTTAGTAAAATGTTAAAATAAATAAATACAAATTGATCAGCTGCTCTGTATCCCCCCCACCCCCTCAAAACAAAAACCAAACAGAAACAAAAACTTTGAAGCACAAAACTCCAAATACAAGTCTACCAAGACTGAAATCACAAAGGGCATGGACAAGAGACAGGGTTGGGGTCTGGCTGGCTCTTCTCTGCTAGGAGCTGGCTGACCTCTGGCCTGCCCATCCCCACCACCTGGCTGCAGCTCACCTGGACTGAGGACCCACGGAGACTGGGGAGAGGTGAGGGCCCAAAGGCTGCTGGGGACGGGCGGGGCGGGGGAGGCTGGGTCCTCAGGGAGGAAGGGCCTTGTGGGAGGGGGCGCCAAGTGGAACTGGGGAGCCCTGCTTCCGTTTACAGGAGCTACTTTTCAGAGTTCCTACCCGGCTTCTGGAGGGCAGCCCCAGCTTCCTGCCCCTCACTTTGGCGAGGGGGCCAGAAGACCGCCCAGAGGAGCTGACTCGGAGGACAGTCTAAGTCAGGGTGAGGATGAGAGTCCTGCTTCCTGCCAGGGGTGCCTGGCTAAGGGCAGGGGCGAGGTCCACACAGAGCAAAGATGCCTCCACCCAACAGAAGCCGAGGGATCTGAGACCCAGGCCCTGGAAGATGCCCGGGCCGCGCTCCATCCCATCACCTTAAGAGCCTTTTGCCTCTGGGTAGTCTCCTAAATTCAGCCCTTTAGATAAATAAGAAGGACCACGCCCTACAAGGGAATGAAGGGAAGAAACCTCTGAAGAGTGTGTGTGAGCTGGGAGGGCCAAGCCCAAGGGCTCTTAGCCCCAAGAGAGAAGTATCAGAGGTGGCTGGAGAGCCAGCGTGCATGCGGAGACAGAGTGTGCTGCAGACACGGCCACCCGCACAGACACAGCTGTGTGCACCTGCGCCATGCACACTTGCCCGCTGGGCCTGAGCCAAGCAGCAGGGACAGAGAGACAGGCCTTGCAGGGAAGCCAGGCACACGATGGTGCCAGCTGGAGGCTGCCAGGGTGGCCCCACCAGGGACTGCCCGTAGCTGTCTACCCCTGTCAGGTACAACCAGCAGGCTTACCACAAAGGGCCTAATAAGGAAGGAAGAAATCAAAACCCCGATGAGCTCAGCACAGGTGAGACAAGACCCAGCAGGCTCCATGAAAGAAAAAGGACCCGCAGGCAGCAAGAATGCAGAGGTGGAGATGACAGCAACATGACCTCACTGCCACCAGGGCGCAGCGCCTGATCAGGAGCTGGCAGGGGACTCCCAGGCAGGGCCCAGTGGGCAGCCACTCCAGCTCTCTGAAGTGACTGCAAAGCCAGCTGGTCTCAGATAAGTAGCTGTCAGAGCAGCTAAATTCTGGGCCATGGGGAAAGAGCAGCGCAAGGAAGGAGGAGGAAGCAAGTGGAGGTGGCTGGGTGGCGCAGTGTCACGAGCGTGTGTCTCTGGCAGTCTGGGGGAACAGTGAAGGACAGGGAGATTGAGTGCCGGGGGCCTCTTCTTTACAGTAAAGCAGTGTTTTGGAATTTGAGTCCAGAATGTAGGTTTGTGGGCAGGATTGCATCTTGCACTCCATACTAGCTGGCTCCCAAAACAGATCACATCTGAACGTCAGGAAGAATCCACAGCCCAGCTGCAGGCGAGGTCAGAATGTACTCACGCTGCTCAGGGCGGCAGGCAAAGCCCTGGTCAATTCCTAGCCTAATCCCCCCACCCCTGAGACTCCTCAGGCAGCTCCTCTCCGAGCAAAGGCCTCTAGTGATGATGGCTTCCCAAATTCTTTCAGGAAAAGGAGAGTTAACTGTTGCGGCAACCCCTAGATGGGCCCAGACAAGTTGAGGGGAAGAGCTCTAGACAGGGCAGGCAGCCTGCTGCTGGTCTCTGATCCTCTGCCACCGATTCCTCCAACTAGTCCAGGCATCTCCAAGCCTCCCTGACCAGGCACAGCACCTTGGTTTCTGAGAAAAGGGAACTCTCCCCGTCAGCCAATCAAGCAGCCAGGGCCTAACTGAGGCCTGTTCAGCCAAACTTAACTCCCTCTTCTGAGGTCCTTGGGAAGATGAATGGCGACAGCTGATATGGATGAGACACATTTTCCTCTAAGAAGCGTCTCTTTTCTGTTGAATTTGCCTTCAGATCTGTCTTTGTCTCTCTGGGCCTAACTGGGTGGGAGAGAAGCTAATGGGACCGTTTCTACCCCTCCCCGACTCTGGCTGTTACCAGGGCCTGGAGTGGGCTTCAGGGAGATGCTCCAGCAGGGCCCGGGTACGGAGCCTCCACTGCCCTGCCATCAGCCAGGGGCATGCAAGAGGCAAAGGTCTCCAGCCAGAGCACGCATCTGACACCGTTTACTTCCCACAAGGCAAGATGAGAGAATGGTCTGAACCTTTCAGAACCCTGGTTTTCTCAAGAAGGAGAGGCCACAACAGGCCAAGCCAAGGCAAGCGCAGCAATTCTAGCCAAGGGTCACCCAGGAGACTTGTGGGTGGGAGGAGTGGAATGAATTCCATTTCTGGTGCCTGAAGCCAACAGGCAGAGAAAGGAGTGAGAGCTTCAGACCTCTCCCCAAAAGCAAGACAGAGCTTTGGGGCTCTGTCTCAGAGACATACCCTCGAGACATGTCACTCCTCTGTTCTTTCTAAGCACCAAGGGCTGATGCAGCCAGCCTGCACTCCTGCACCCTCCTGCCACAGCCAGGGTGCATGGGCACCACTGAGCTCCACTGGCCAGTTCCCTTGGAGGTGTCCCCCAGGCACTCATAATGCTGGTGGCTGAAAGACCAAAAGCAGCACCAAAGGAAGGGATCTTATTTAGGCACCAGCCTTTTGCTCTAGCAGAATCTAAGAAGACCATGGGGAGGGCCCTGACACCGTCCAGACTTCCATTTGGGCTTCACAACAGGAGACAAGATCCCTGCACCAAGAAGAGAGCACGGTCTTTTCTGAGGAGAGAGAAGGGTGGGGAGCTCCACCCTGTCCGTCAAGGAGACTGGCCCACAGTCTAGAGACACACACGGCAAAATGTCATCGTCATCAGCAGGGTCTGTGCTAAAAAATTATAACTACACGGCATTTTCTCCAGTTCTGACACCTTTTTAATAGAAATCACTGTTTTTAGGAAACAAATAGCACTTTTGTAATTTTTTTTTTACAATGTTTCTTACCTTGATCTTAATTTAAGTAACACTAGGAAGACCTCAATATCTTTTATTTTCCTTTTTAATTTAAAAAAAAGTTTTTTTTTTTTTTTCCCCCCAGATACAAAGATTTTTGCCCTTGCATAAAAAACCAGTGCCCGAACGATGACACAAGGACTCACAAAGACTCACGGGACCTCACTGACACTATGATTCCTACTCTACCATGCAAGGTCTCGGCTACCCTTAATTGGACTGTCAGCCTGAAAAACAGCTTTTCTATTCCTTATTTTAGTTTTTGTTACCAAGAAAGTAAAATGAACAATAAAATAAAACTTTCCTTAAAGAAAAAAAGAACAAAAACAAAAATTAAAAAAAAAAAGAGGAAAGAAATGTCTCCATTCAATTCACACACACCTGGGTCGCGTGCTGCTTCACTCAAGATCTTCTCTTCTTATAAATATAGAAAAGGGATGGAGCTTGTTTTCAAGTAAAATCACTGATCCACCTTTTTTCCTTCCTGGACATACACATCTTTCTTCCCTGCCCCAGGCAAGGGCCTGCGGCCTGGGCTCTGCTTGTTCTTGGAGAGGAGACAGTGGGATAACACGGGGATGCGCGATTCACCAAGCAGGGAAGGAAGGAGGCTGGGCAGGCTTCAGGATGGGGAGTTCCCATGGGGAGGGAGCAGGGCGTGGGGGAGAAGAACCTACTGGCTGTCCTTGGTGTCAGTCTCCCCTGCGAGGCCCCCGCCAGCCGTGATTAAATACTGCTTCTGTGATACACTGTTCCACCCCCGGCTCCCTCCAGCCACTCCCATTCCCTCTTCTGGGCACTGGGGTTGGTTGAATCTCAATTCCTTTTTTTGGTTTTATAGTAGCGAAAGTTTAGAAACAGGAAAGCCCACACACTCTTTGGACTTGTCTTCTCTACCTAAACAAACGGCTCGGCAAGTAAGGATCTGAAACCTGCTCTCCTCCCTCCGCCCGTCCCTGCTCCCCACCCAAGAAAACAGAAACAAACCCATCGTGGCTGTGGAGGCTGCTGCAGGCACACACTGGTGTATAATAGAGAGAGTAAATATATTATTTCACTTGGCATGGTGCTGGCAAAGAACCTCCAGCTGGCACTATTTCATGTAACATGGTCCAATCTTTGCATGTACACACAGAATAAGAAGGATCAATTGGCAAACTCTGGTGCCACCTGGCACAAGCATCTTCTCTCTCTCTGGAACCAAAGAACCAAAAGAATTCTGCACTTTCCGGAAATCCGGCTTTGCTTTTCTAGAGTCTTCAGTGTTCTGCTCTCCTTGCCGCCGGGGTCCTGTGGCTTCTCCTAGAGGGGCTCTGTTATTTAGTCTCTTCCCCTTGGTTACAGTTCGCTGTGCAGCTCTGGGAGGAGGGGGAAGGGGCCGGCGTGGAGGTGGCGGCATTGGCAGGGGGGGTGCAGTCCGGGCCGTTGGAGATGGCCCCCACAGTGGCCTCAGAGTCTACAGGTTTGGAGAGGTCGATGCCGTGGATGAGGCGAATCAGCTGTTTTACCTTCTCCAAGGAGCTGTGCATCTCCTTCTGCCGGGCCAGGATGGTGTTCTTCATTTCCATGCATTTCTGCAGCAAATGACAAGGGCAGTGGCACTGAGCCGCCTCATTCTAACAGGCCTCGCAGCCCCTGAGAGCGGAGCACCTTCTCTCTGCCCAGGGAGAAGAACCCCTGCTGGCTGCTGTGCAGCCCCTGGGCCTCGCTGTGCTCCCCAGCAGAGTGGGCGCTACCACCTAAGGAACAGGGCAAGTGGAGTGGGTAGGCTGGGGGAGTCCAAGAGGCAACAGAGGGAGAGAGCATGCGGGCACGAACACGCGGGAGTGCTAACACTTAAAAGCAAACCGGCAGAGCTGCCATCAGACTTCCAAACAAAGGTTAAAAAAAAAAAAAGTTCCCACAGCTGCCCTACAGCCTGTTCAGGCAGGTTTTGATACGCTTCTGTCATGCTAATGGGGGCCTTCAGGACTGGACTGAGCTCTCCAGGGTGCTATCTGGATTCCATCTGAGGGCAGCAGGAAGTGAGAGGGTGGGCCGGCAACATTAGAAGGATCTAAGCCCAAAGGACAAAGGCCTGCAACCAATAGAACACCTTCTGCTCAGTCAGGGACTTGTAGTCTTTTCCCCTTTTGCCCTCAGCCTCCCATACCTGCTGGCTTCTGTTTTAGGCAGGGAAAGAGATGAAAGAGGTGTTAAATCTGCATGCCATGGGTAGGTATGGTGACAAGGAGAAAGCAGGTAAGCAGGACAGTTCAACCACCACCAAGTACAAGCACCAGCTGGCATCTGTGAGGGCTGAGGTCACTTTACTCCAATAAGGGTGACCTACTCTGTGGAAAAGAAGGCTGGCTCCTTGCCTGGGATGAGTCTCTGTCCCCCTGCTGCAAATACAACCCTCTTTCCCACCTGGACAGGCCGGGCTGGGCAGTACTTACTTCCAATACTTGTCTCTAGAAAGCCCACTTCCTCACACTGGTCAGGAAAACCGGGAAATGCAATCAGCATGGTGTGGAAGCAAGAGCAAGGGAGGGCCGTGTGGATGGGCCCGCTCGCTCAGGTGACTAGGAAGAATCACACGAGGGGACCTGGTCTGTGTCTGCTCAGTGTCAGGTGAGGCACTACGCTCCCCCCACACACTGTCAGGAATAGGCAGGGCTGTGGCTACACTGTTGTAGCTCTTATTTATGCAGCCTGGTGACTGAGAACCCTCTTTCAGATGAAAGCCAAGAGGATGTTCCAGAGCTTAGGTGAGGCACCACCTACCAACTGGCCGCCTGTACCTGGGGGCTGAACTCTTAACGGGACGGCAAGCTGCATTTGCCCAAATTACTCATGTTAATAAACAGAAGGACCCGAGGCAGCCTGGGGTCCACACGTACTGTTATGTACATGGAAAGGCCCAGGTCTCTGCATCCATGTAAGGACTGCTGAAGGCGTGAGCTGTACTTACACTTATGGAATTGCTGAGCTGTTTCACCTTTTGCTCTAGTTGTTCTCGTTCTTGTTTTAAATCTGAACTCCATTTAAGTAATTTCTGTTTCTCTTCTTCTTTTGCTAAAAAAAAAAAAAAAAAAAAGGAACAGTTTTTGACAATTAATTCCTTGAAAAGGACCCTGTGCTCAGAATGTCTTCCAAAGACATTTTCCCCAAAGTCCTAGGAGTCCCGCAGCCGGTGCATGGTGCTCACCTGCACCCTTCCTTCTTCTGTGCACAGTATGCTAAGAAAACTGTCAGCGGCTTGGGTCTGGCTTTATATAAATGAGATACCACAACATTTCATGTTTTCCCCCCAAGAAGTGCTACAGACCAGGCATGGTGGCTCATGCCTGTGATCCTACGACTTTGGGAGGACAAGGCAGGTGAATCCCTTGAGCCCAGGAGTTTGAGACGAGGCTGGGCAACAAGGCGAAACTCGTCTCTACCAAAAAATACTGAAGTTAGCTGGTCATGGCAGTACACACCTATAGTCTCGGCTACTTGTGAGGCTCAGGTAGGAGGATCAACTGAGCCCAGGAGGTGAGAGCTGCAGTGCACTGTGATCATGCCACTACACCCTAGCCTGGGCGACACAGTGAGACCTTGTCTCAAAAAATAAAAAGAAAATGCTACACAATATTTCCACTTCATCCAATAAAAGGTTTTCATTTTTTGTTTGTTTCCTTCAATAGTTAAGAGCAAAACATTTTCTTTTCCTTTTTTTTTTTTTCAGACAGAGTCTTGCTTTGTCACCCAGGCTGGAGTGCAATGGCTCCATCTCAGCTCACTGCAACCTCCGCCTCCCAGGTTCAAGCATTTTCCTGTCTCAGTCTCCCAAGTAGGTGGGACTACAGGTGCCCACCACCACACTCTGCTAATTTTTGTATCTTTAATAGAGACGGGGTTTCAACATGTTGGCCAGGCTGGTCTCAAACTCCTGTCCTGTGATCCGCCCACCTTGGCCTCCCAAAGTGCTGAGATTACAGGAGTGAGCCACTGCACCCAGCCAAGGTTTTCATTTTTAACTTTAAATTTCCTTTTGAGAATAAAACAAATACTGCCAGTACCTTTTTTTTTTTTTTTTTTTTTTTTTTTTTTTTTAAACAAAGGGAAGCTTACAAAAAAATGAGTATGGATAACTCCTTACCTGCTTTGTAGGCAATATAGGAATGAACAATTGCTAAAGTTCCAGGCCATGGAATTGCTTCTTCCTTCTTCAGCATCTGAAAAGATTTTTAGAATTTTACTTTGAGAAGGAGGTTTAAACACATATCCTCTATGTAACAGCTAGCAATGGGGTCTGTGGCTACTGGCAGATAAAATCCAGGAAGGATTTATGGTAGCAGTGTTGAAAAACCCTGGTCTCTAGTTTCTGGACTAAAAAGTTCCAAATATCAGCTTAGGAGAATGAAGTTCAAGGCAGGAAGAGCCAGGACACTTGAGCCCAGGCTTAGAAGGAGCTTGGACTTGGCTGAGCATTCCTATCTTTTCGTACACGCCACACGACACCCAACAACTCCTGACAGCTAGAACCACCAACACAAAAGCTGCACATCAGCACGATGGCGGCAGCCACTGGCAGTTTCGTCCTTGGCCTGACATGGACTGTCTGTCTCAATTTTAGATTTATATGCCTCTCAAAGACAGCCTGACCAAGGAAATTAAATATTAGTCCCAAATACAAAAGTATAATCTAGACCCTATGTCAGAAGTCATCAGGTCACAAAGGAGCATCAGGAGGAAGACAGTGAGAGAAGGTTCGCTGCACCACACAGGCTGCGGGATGAGGCCAAGCTTACAAGGGAAAACCAGAATTTGTTCAAAGCAGGATTCCAAAGACTGAGCAGGATCCCAGTGCTTGCTGAGCTATTGGGCTTATTTATTATTTATACTTTTCCTAACTCTACAAAAAGACTTGAGACAGCTTATAATAAGATCATAAAGACATATATATACATGGATAATTGAGAAAAGGCAATCAGAAACTAAACAGAGAAGGAGGGAGGGTAGGACAGTAATATGTTTGCCTTTTAAGTCTATAAAATATCAACAGTACTTTACAGTTAGTTCTCTGAGCGTGATATAACAAAATAGGTTAAAAGTGAAATGGGTGGGCTGGGTGCGGTGGCTCACGCCTGTAATCCCAGCACTTTGGAAGGCCAAGGCAGGCAGATCATGAGGTCAGGAGTTCAGGTCACCAGCCTGACCAACATGGTGAAACCCCGTCTCTACTAAAAATACAAAAATTAGCTGGGTGTGTTGGTGCACACCTGTAATCCTAGCTACTCAGGAGGCTGAGACAGAGATTTGCTTGAACCCGGGAGGCAGAGGTTACAGTGAGCCAAAATCGTGCCACTGCACTCCAGGCTGGGCGACAAAGCGAGATTCCATCTCAAAAAAAAAAAAAAAAAGTGAAATGGGTGTTATTTTTATTGAGAAGGAGTCTCATTCTTGTCACCCAGATGAATTCAGTGGCATAACCTCTGCTCACTGCAGCCTCCGCCTACTGGTTTCAAGCGATTCTCCTGCCTCAGCCTCCCAAGTATCTGGGGCACCTGCCACCAAGCCCAGCTAATTTTTGTATTTTTAGTAGAGACGGGGTTTCACCACGTTGGCCAGGCTGGTCTCAAACTCCTGACCTTAGGTGACCCACCTGCCTCGGCTTCCCACAGTGCTGGGATTACAGGTATGAGCCATTGTGCCTGGCTCAGGATGTTATTTTAATTAATCAACTGGGTACTTTCTCTTAAGGATTTTATTCCCAAAGAAGAGTTTTAAAACCACATACTTGGTCTGGACCATTCCTAGAGAATGAGGCACAATGGTCTTTTAAGGGTCTTGACTTTTAACGAGAAGCGAAGTCACTTCAAATACAAGGAAGTCTATCTACCTCAGTAATATGGCAGAGAACTTCTGAGGGAATGAAGGCCATGTGCCTGAGTGCTGTGCCATGAACAGGGAAGATGTAGCCTGAAGACCGACTTGGAGAGAGGAGACTGCCATTCCCAGAGAAAGGAATTTCTCCTGATGGCTGTGTCTTTGTCCTCCTTGGCCCCTCGCCCGTCGGACGCACCCACAGTACCTGGTCCTGACATCTGGGACAGATCCACATGCCCTTGGGAATTGTTTTCAGAGGGGGGTCTAAGCAGTCCAGATGATATACACGGGAACACGTGTCACACATCAGTAACTGGCCACTTTTTCTGCAAACGCTGCAAAAATCCTCATGGATATCACCCTATAAAGTTGAGAGAAAAGGTAAGAAAAAGGACAAAAAAGGTAAAATTTTAATGTTAACATGTGCATTCTGGATGCATATAAATATTTTAGGACAATCAGCTGCCTCGTTCCAGGAGTATTCAAGAGAAGTAGGGATCACCAATAGCACAGGCCCCTACTCACTCCATATAGATAAGGCTCCCTGGGTAGGCACAGTGCAGTAGTCCGCCCTTATCCATGGGGGATATGTTCCAAGGCCCACAGTGGATGCCTGAAACCTCAGACAGTCCTGAACCATACACACACACACACACACACACACACACATGTTTTTCCATACATGCAGACCCATGACAGTTTAATTTATAAATTAGGCATAATAAGAGATTAACAACAGTGACTAAGAAAACAGAACAATTATAACAATCTACTGTAATAAAAGCTATGTGAATAAGGTCTGTCATTTTCCTCTCTCAAAACATCTTAATATTTTCAGACTGCAGTTGACTGCAGGTAACTGAAACAGTAAGAAGTAAAACCTCAGATAAACAGGGACTACTGTAAATTTAAATTAGAGTTTGCAGGAAAGGTCTGTAGTCGACAAGGCTAAAATTAAACTTATAGGTGATACCTAAGAGTTTAATAAGTTCTGGCAGAGGACAACCCACATATCACCAATCTTATAGGCACTGAAATCCATTCATCAAAGTGTTTCATAATATGATACCAACAATTCTCATCACCTTTCAATTTTGGGCAGAGTTTAGAAGGATTCGGAAAGAAGACAGACAAAAACTGGGGTTTTCCTGAACCTGCTTGCTCAAGAAGAAAAAGATATAGTGAAAGCTCAAATGGGAAAATATTAAGTCAGAAACAAATTAAATTCATATGCGTGTTCTTTCTAACATGAAGAATTTAAAAAGCCAAAGCAACAGCTGACAATGTTCTCCTAAAACCAGTATTTTGTGTTTGCTGTTCAATGGGCCATTCTATTCTGGGAGGCTTTATCCCTATAAAAACTTCACCAGCTGGAAAAAGACTAGCAGTCCCAGTCTGTTCTGCCTGTCCTGTCTCTCTACCTCCCCCAGCACAGAGATAGTTTTAGGACTCAGGTAAGTGTGTTTGAGCCTCTGAACAGAAGGCACCATCAGAATAAAGCCGATCTACTTAAAATTGGAAGAGGAGAACATAGCCAAAAAAAAAAAGAACCATTAAAGAGGTCTTTTCCAGCAACTCAATCTCTACCTCATTCTCTGGATGGGATTAAATCCACCAGTAAGGACACCAGGGAAGGTGTCCAGACTGAAGGGAAGTACCAGAGGTGACTCAGCAAGTCAAGCCAATGTGCTGCTGTGGATTTCTTGGCTATTTTGCTGGGAGGTCTAACACAGAAACTGTGCACAGGAAGCAATGGTAGAGAGCATGTGAGTCCATCCTTTCTATGATGTGATCCCTCCACCACCACTGAAGGAACACATCATCATGGACCTACGATTTCACTCCAAGGGAAACTTTCTCTGTAAGCCACTAGGGTATCTGGCAGCCCAGAAAAGAGGCTGCAAAAATTTTAAGATACATTATAGTGTGGATGGATTTTAATCTTTCTTAATAGGAAAATGTGACCCCTGGACAGTAAAAAAGATGCTTAACATATGTTGAAAAATATTACATGTGAATGTAGCCTAATAGTTTAACTTCCAGGCACCAACAGATGTAAGGTTTCATCCCTAGATTAATTATGACTTTCTTCTTTCATTATTAAAATCAGGCTGAGGGCTACTCTTCTCCTTTAGAGGGTTAGCCTTTCTTGAACCTTAGCCCTAAGTGGTGAGTCTGCATCTTTATAAAGTTTATTTAAAATGTGTGACTTTAGAGACTATTTACATGAACCACAGAAAAAATTATCAGTGATGGAGTGAATGAGACAAACTAGACATCTTATTCAGAGGGACTTGGGATAGACAAACACATGTGTTCACTTTCCTTTGGTCCTGAGCATGGAGACCATCAAGAGATAGAAGGCAGTTGCTTTGAAAGGGTTTTACACTGTAGCTGTATCTTGCAGATGTAGCTAAAGCCCCAGTAATCTAGCTTTTACTAAGAGTAATAAGAAAATTAAAAAAAAAAAAGAAATATAAGGCAGAAAGACAGAAAATAAAGGTTAAATAATTTATTTAAGTTCTCAAAGGAACTTTCTATCTTATTTATGTATCCTATAATTTTCGGTGTTTTAGTGTTAAGATCCCTTTCTACTCTTAAAGTTACTGAGGACCCCAGAGAGCTTTTATATGAGTTATATCTATTAATATTTACTGTAATAACAGTTAAAAAACAATGTTTTTTGAGACAGGGTCTGTCTCTGTCACCCAGGCTGGAGTATAGTGCTGTGATCTTGGCTCACTGCAGCCTCGACCTCCCAGGCTCAGGTAATCCTCCCACCTCAGCCTCCCAAGAAGCTGGGACTACAAGCACACACTACTATGCCCAGCTAATTATTTTATTTTTTGTAGAGACGGGTCTCACTTTATTACCCAGGCTGGTAAAAAGTTTTAATTCTGAATTACAGAACCATGAAAAGTTATAAAAATAGTATACTGAAACATTTTTAAACTCCAAAACACATAGGTACACATTTCATTAGCGGCCAGAGTGATGACATCATCACACATCATGCAGTAATCTGGTAAACTCCACTGTTCGGTCTGGAGAGAATGAGAATGAAAGTGGCAAATGATGGTTTAGTATCATTATGAAAATAGTTTTGACTTTATGCCTCCTGAAAGAGTCTTGGGGACTCCCAGACTACACTTTGAGAACTGCTGCCCATAGAAATGAATATAAAATGCCAAACCATTTTATCCATACAGAACTGGTTCTTTGTCTAAAAAGAGCAGAGGAAGTCCTACAGAGGCACCATGCCAGGTCAAAAGGCTTAGGCTTTGATGACTGACCAAATTATTACTATAAACCAAATACGGGGTAAGTTGAAAGACGGCTAGCCCATGATTCCTTGCTATGAGCTGAGGACATATGTTTTTAGGAAACACTCTGGCTATATCAACTATGATTTCATCATGTGCTAAAAAAAAAATTTATGTCAGTGTATCTTCCTGTGTATCTTCCCTTTTATCATAAAAATGGTGATAATGGCAACAAGGTACATCCAGAGGATTAGTGTCTGGCTAAGTCTTGTATTACACCAAGTTCCTCACAATGGTTTCGGATCCCTAGAAATGCCCGCCTCTCAAGTGTTATTGTTTAATTAATGTTGTTGGAACGTATGCTACCCAGCAGCAAACATTCAGAGCCCTGTGTGTTGATTTTAATCACTACCACTACTGGGATACTGTAAAAAGAGAAGTCAATTATCTTAAAAATACATTCTGTCAAGTTTAACTTAGGGAGTTCTGGACATATTTAGTAGTTTTAGGAAAGCTTTCTTTTACCTTCAGATTTCCGAAAAGAAAAATGTTTGCATTTTAAGACAAAACCCGGCAGAAGCTTAGTTTATTTGATGAGTGGATACTTTGGGTTCAGTCTCTCAAAGAGAACCATAATCCCATTTGACCAAAAAAACACACAAAAAACCAACATTGTTTAGGAGAGAGACTCACATGCAGAACCACAAACTCATCTGTCCCCCAGCATTTGTGTACCGCCCTAGAGGGAGAGCTCTACCAAGAGGCCAAGGAGCTCGCGATCCTTTGTCAGTATTCCAACTGAGAAGAAGCTGGGACAATCTTTGGCGCCAGCAAACAAGATTTCTCGTAGACACCCTGTTGCTCATTAACAAGACAATTAGAAAACCTGTGTCAATTATTAATGCCAAAAGTCAGGAAGGCTGGACAAAATGCTAAACCTTTAGAGCAATGATGAATCTGTGACCACAGTGATGTCTAACGAAGGAAACAAGGAAACCTGTCAGAGAACAGAATTCTTCTATGACCCGAGTCCTCCAAAAGTAACACTTTCTTTGTTGCCTCTGCCATTTTAACTCAGAACATTCATATGGTATTCTGCTGCTCCTTGGAGAGGGGTGTGCCATTAGTAGGTTCTGAGAAGCTTCAAGTTCAAGAGACATTTTATTTTATGACGGTCAGTGACAAGCTCTGTAATTTACCAAAGAACTGGGATGTGTGTGAAATGAAACTCTTGGTTTCCCTCCTCAGATCTGCTCCTCTCTTACTCTTTAGTAAATGGAAGCTTCATCTTTCTAGTCATTTAGGCCAAAAACTTTGGATTTATCCTTATCCTTGACCATTCTGTTTCTCATAACCCATATTCAATCCTGATGGTTCTTCAAAATATATGCAGACGTGATCACTTTTCTCCATCTCTGCTTCTTCCATCAGATTAGGCTAAGCTATCACCATCATCTTTCTTTCCTTTTTTTTTTTTTTTTTTTTTTTTTTTTTTTTTTTTTTTTTGAGATGGTCTTGTTCTGTCACCCAGGCTGGAGTGCAGCGGCACAATCACAGCTCACTGCAGCCTCAACCTCCCATGCTCCAGTGATCCTCCCACCTCAGCCTCACAAGCAGCTGGGACTATAGGTGCACACCAGTATGCCCAATTAATTTTTGTATATTTAGTAGAGACAGGGTTTCACTATGTTACCACCACACCTATTTTTTCTTTTAAGACGGAGTCTCACTCTGTTGCCCTGACTGTAGTGCAACGGCACAATCTCAGCTCACTGCAACCTCTGCCTCCTGGGTTCAAGTGATTCTCCTGCCTCAGCCTCCTGAGTAACTGGGATTATAGGCACACACCACTATGCCCAGCTAATTTTTGTATTTTTAAGTAGAGATGGGGTTTCACCATGTTGGTCAGGCTGGTCTTGAACTCCTGACCTTGTGATCCACCTGCCTTGGCCTCCCAAAGTGCTGGGATTACAGGTGTGAGCCACTGCACCTGGCCTCTAGCTAATTTTTAAAAGTTTGTAGAGACAGGGGTCTTGCCATGTTGCCCAGGCTGGTCTTGAACTCCTGGGCTCAAGCAATCTGCCCTCCTCGGCCTCCCAAAGTGTTAGGATTTACGGGCGTGAGCCACTGTGCCTGCCCGTCATCATCTCTTGCCTGGACAATTGCAACAGCCTCCTAACTGGTCTTCCGGCTTCCATCCTATTTTCCCTATAGCCCTTTTCTTCTCCATAGTTTAGACACAGCGATCCTTTCAAAATCAAGTTGATTTTGCATACACCTTAAGAATAATAAATGCAGGCAGGAATCATGAAAGGATGCTAAAAACATTGGGTAACAGTTTGTTGGGAGACTGGATATGTATATAGACTCAAAGCTATCTCCACCCCAGGAAAAAGGCGCATTTAAAGGTGGAAAAATCTGACAGAACCTATCTTAGGAGATGAAAGTTAACATCATCAACAACAGGGGAGACTGACATCATGTGCTTCCTGCTGTGATGCACTGATAATGACCCATCGTCATGTATTAGTGTTCCTCTAAAAATGCATACCCTGAATCTACGCTCAGAAAAAAAAATCAGACAATCCAAACGGAGAGGCACTCTACAGAGGAACTGGCTTTTTAAAAACATCAATGTTATGAAAGACAAAGGGTGAGAAGCTGTTCTAGAATAAAGGATTAGCAAATAGACAATATCATGACAATAAATGTCAAGAGTAATCTTGAATTGCACCTTGGAGCAGAAAAAACAAAGTGTCACAAAAGCAAGTATGGACCATTGGAGCAATCTGAGTATGGACTGCATATTTTATGTACTAATATTGTGTCAGTGTTAAATTTCCTCAATTTGATAAATGCTTTGTAGCTATATAAGAGAGTATCTTTACTCCTAGGAGATAGATAATGAAATATTTTAGGGTGAAGATTCAGGAGGTCTGCAACTTCCTGTTATCTGGTTTCCCCAAAATAAGTGTGTACGGTAGGTGAGAAGCGTATGTGGCAAAATGTCAACAACTGGTGAATCAATGTGAGGGATACTGGTTCTCTGTACCACTATTGAAATTTTTCTGTAGGTTGGAAATTTTTCAAAATAAATATTGAAAAATTACATCACTCCTCTCCCCAAAACCCTCTAATGATCTACCATTTTACTGAGAACAAAAGCCCCAAAGCCCTGCACAACTGTTCCAGTCACCTCTGAGGCCTCATCTCCCACCAGCTAGCACTGCCCCGGCTATCCTGGCTTTCTTGCTTTTCTTTCCAGATGCCATGCACACTCATACCTCAGGGCTTGCAATGCTGGTCCCTCTGCCTGGCAGGCTCTTCCCCCACATCCTCCCATGGTTCACTCCTTCACTTCCTATCAGAGAGGCTTTACCAGTCTTCATAAACATCAGCCTCCTGCCAGTATGCTGTATGCCATTAATCTATTCCATTTTTCTTTTCTTTTTTAGATGGAGTCTCACTCTTGTCACCCAGGCTGGAGTGCAGTGGTGCAATATTGGCTCACTGCAACCTATGCCTCCTGGGTTCCAGTGATTCTCCTGCCTCAGCCTCCTGAGTAGCTGGGATTACAGGAGTGCACCACCACATCCGGCTAATTTTTGTGTTTTTTTAGAGATGGGGTTTCGCCATGTTGGGCAGGTTGGTCTTAAACTCCTGACTTCAGATGATCCATCTCCTCGGCCTTCCAAAGTGTTAGGATTACAGGCGTGAGCCACCATGCCTGGCCTCATTTCTCTTCAGAGCACTTATCATTACCTGACATATTATATATTCACTTTCTTATCATCTGCCTCTTCAGATGAGGACAGGGAATTGGTTTTCTTCCCTGCCATGTCCCCAGCCTCAAGAACAGCACTTACTCAGCAGAGTAGTGCTCAGTGAGTATCTGCTGAGTGAATTCTGAGCTTTGCTGAGGCTCATTTAAACACTTAGAGCACTAGTCCACATTCCTGTAGTTTGTGGGTAAAGACCTACTAAGTATTTGACAGTTTTCCAGGAACCTGTTTCTGATCAACTCTGCTGAATACAGTTGCTCTAAAGAAAACTTTCCACTTCTGGAATTGTATTTGAAGCAGCAAACAAGGGCTGCTGGGGGACTGTATGCCTTGTTCATTTTCCCCACTCCCAAAACACTGATGATAGAAACCTGCACAACTCTCAATTGTATGAGCTGATTTCCCTGCCCCATCTGTTTTCTAAGAACTCATTCACAATAGATCAAATTCAGACTCTGACGGCTGGCTGAGCTCCATGAGGTTATATTTAACATGATTCTCAAGGACGTGGAAGGCCTAGAACCTCAGAGGAAAGCTGCCTTACATGGCATAAATAGCATTCTATAGGATTTATTGCTGTTCCAGGGTTAGTCAAGAAGGTGCAAGTTGATAAGGAGACAACATATGATAACGCTTTTCCCAATTTAAGCTCTCAGAAAGAGAGTGTGCTTTTCCCAAGTTACTTACGTCTGTGGAGGTGGGGCTGGGCAGGGACACAGGCTGAACAGGTGCAGGGAAAGTGAATGTGGTCTCTGTCTTTTCATTTTCAGGGGAGTCAGGATGACTGGATTGGGGGGATGTTGGGGTAAGGGCTCCAAACCCCAGCACTGCATTGTATTTTGGAGGACGACCTATATACCAAGAGAAGGGAACAAAAGGGAAAAAGGGGGAGGGAAAGAGAGGGGGAAAATGATCTTACATACCTTTGGCCAGTGTTCCTCATTGGCTAGCATGGAAAAGGAAGTGAGGTAGCAGACAGAAGGTTAATACAACAGTCCAAAAGGAAGGAAGAGAAGCAAAGATTTAAATGTCATTAGAAACAACTACATGACTCTCAAGAGAAGGGAGGATAAGAGAGCTCTGGAGAATGACAGAAGGTGCTGGCTTATGTAGAAAGACTTCACCTTGGGCAGATTGTGGAGAAGTTCCTGGACTATTGCAATCTGAGATTTCTAGTGCAAGAACCAAGATGTCAAAGCCCAGTGGGAGCCAGAGCCAGGAATGAGTTTATTTTAATTTTTCATATCTTTTGGATACTGTTCTTTAAGGTTACTCTGCAATCAGCATTCTCACAATACTATTAATGATTCTCAGTTCCCACAAACTGATTTATTTAGGATTTCTGCTTTTCACTCTCTCTTCTGTCTGCATTTTATAAGGCTGGAGACAGGCAAAGTGAGGAGGCAAAATTCAAGTTAACTATTCTTGCCCCTTTCTGTCAGAGTTATTGCGGTATGTCCGGGGAGTAGCTGAAACCTAAGAGCCTGAAAGATGCTCTGGGCTTGGCAATGAATTTAAGTATTTCTGTTCCTGGATATTCTCCCCAGTTGACTGGCAGTTGTCCCCCCATTTTACATTATAAGCATTCTGATGGACTACATGTCTAAAAACTGGGGCTGTTTAAAAGTCTCAGGAAAGGCCCTGCCATCAGCACAACTGAGAGACCTGACTAGTATAAAAGCATTGTGACTCAAACCTTAAGGCTACAAAGGATCTTAAATGAGCCGCGTGGGTACAGAATGTCTAGGTCAGCCACTCTTGCCTTACCATATAACTAAGTCAGGGCCCTTGTCTTCTAAGGGCCAAGGTCATAGCTTCTAAGCTGTGAGTGATCAAAAGTATATGCCCAACACACCAAAGGGAAAAAAAGAGCCAGAGAGGTACAAAACTGCCAATAAGCACTGGTAAATGGTATGTAGGATCATGACTTTGCCAACAGTTATAATTTATATCAGGATTATGTACAAGAATCATGATTCTGTCAGATGTTACAAAAATATTACCTCTGTGTTCAATTGGCGATGCCTATAGTACAAAGCCAGATCTTACTGGTTTGTCTTTTCTAGGGAGTTCAGTGCTGCTGGAAGGGGAAGAACAAGATGAAGGCTCTCTTGTTTACCCACGAAAGGCATATCCCAGGCACTGTGGATATAGGCTTTTATCCTCTGACCTTGGCAAGAGATGCCAAGGTCTTTCTGGCTCATTTAACCCCTGTCCTCTTAGCAGATACTCCCCACTATCACAGACCAATTACTGTGGCCTCTGGCTGGGGGGCTCCTTTCCAAGAACTGCATCAGGGGTCACTAAAAAAAATATTACCAAACACAAGACAAAACAAAAATAACTTACAGTACTGGTTACTGTGGCCCAGGAATCAATACAACACAATGACTTAGGGTTTCCCATCTAAATATTTTTGAGTACTTGAAGGACAGGACTGATGAAACAACAGAATGGGTTGCTAAGGGTGGGTATGAAATCTCTTTTGTGGGGAGGGAATGGTAATAGTGTAGTCCTGCCTAAGGCAGACAAAGGGTCAGGATGACCTCCTGAGCTTCCAATAGCTCTGAGACTATGTGTGCGTACGCAAAAATTAGTATGCTACTCCACTCACTCTGCAACCTTTCTAGCCTGGAACTATAATTCAGGGACACATTACCATGTGGAGAAAAGGACCTTGGGATGTATTACTGACATCAAAGAACAATTTCAGTACCTTGTTTATGAGCTCAAACCCTGAGCTGTTAAGACCTATTTAGACCTGCATGGTGAAAGATGCTGCTGCTGCTATTTTTTCTGCTCTGCCTAAGAGTAAGTTTCTGGAATGCCCATGGGAAGGTTTGAAATATTGGAGCTCTTTAGGAATCTGTTCTTTAGGGAGCCTGTTTTGACAATGATCTTTTCTTCCTTAGCTGGAGATGTCCTCTTATCAAAGATTCTAAGTTCTCAAGTGTGGCTACCTCTTTCCTTCTTGGAAAGTTTGCAGCTCTAAGAAACTCAGAGTCACACTCTGGCCTCACTGGCAGCAGGACGACCAAGACACTATTAGGAACACCCTGGCAACAGCAGTGCTCTGTTCACTTAATGACGCTCAAATGCTTCCTTTTACATGGCGTTCTGTTCACTGTGCTATTCATGAACGGCCTGGCAGGCTTGGGGCAGAAATGCTACATTAAGCCATTCCCCTGAGTCAGCTTTGCCAGAATCCTAGGAAAGTCAGCTTTTGAGTCAGCATACAGAACTCTAATAAGAAATCTCATTCTCTTTTCTCTCCCATTCTCAGAGAACAACAACAAAACGATTTTCAAGGGATAGAGGAGTTAGGTCCCATAATGATGGGAGGAGGGAAGGAGAAGAAACACACACAGAAAGCAAAAGTAACAGCAGCAAGGGAGAGATACAAAAGGGTCCTCACCTCTCTTCCGGGTCCCAGGGTGCATTGTGCTGTTTAGGTATGTGACTGCACTCTTCTTACGCTTTGAGGATTGAAGAAGGAAAGGTGACTGGTTGAATAGTGTGGTAATTACTAATACTGGCACAAGCTAAAGACCAAGCACAGCATGACCGTCACCATGCCGGCTAGTTAGTGCTAATCATCCTAAAGTCTCAGTGCTCAAGGGTTTTATTATATGTACTTGGCTCTCAGAGACTATTTCAGAGAAGTCTGCCTCTGTTGCCAGTGCAGCTGTATTGAAGTCAGGATGAATTAAAATTTTAAGGTAGGAGTGTATCTGCTGAAACTTAGGGAAAAAAACCTAAGGGGAAGCAGTGACTAATAAAAATGGTAAGGCAAAAAAAAAAAAAAATCCCCCACTTCACAAAACTGACCAAGTACAATCAGGGTGTCGCTCTTCAGCAGGTTTTCAGAGGGGAAGCACTGAACAAGTCATAAAGAAAACTGAAACAGTGAGGGAAGGGCCAGGTACTGGCCAGTAATACCTCTGGCTCAAAGACTGCTCCGCTGTAGACCGGATTTGCTGTTGTTCTTCTTTTTCGCTCTTGTCTCTTGCTTTGGATTTCTTGAGAGAAGAAAAGGTTTTGATTAGAAGAGAGGCATGGAGAACCTAAAAAACTTCATTGTTTTATCTATTGGTTTTCCCATAAGAAATCGGAAATAGGGACACCTCTCTGTCTCACCAAAGCCTCAACAGAGGCAAGGACACTATTGGAAGCAAATATGTAGAACCATCTACTCTCCCCTGCAAGACCACGCTGTCCCACACGTGGCTCTCTGTTGAGAGTTTAACAATAGAAAACATTTGTAAACAAGTGGTCCTGATTTATTTTTAGACTGCTGTATATATAGGTCTGAATGAGCTTTATCCATAAGACTTAAACTGAGTAACCAAAGTTCATCATTCTTTAATTAAATAACCAGGACAGGTACAGCTTTGTAACTGTTCTCAATATTCTGATAACCCAGAGTGACCAGAATATATAGACCTGTCAGAAGAGCACTTGCTACTTTCTGCTGTTCAGAAAAAGAAGAGCTCCCCTAAATGAACAGAAGTCACCTTAATTTAGGCAACTGGGGAGGTTTTCCCAGGACAGTTGTGTGGATAATGACAAGAATAGGCAATTCTTGACAGAGGGCAGGCAATTTTCCCACTAAAGGAAATAAAGTCTACACTGGCTGAATCATCCTCTATTTGTGTTCCAATTTTCTATTCTAGGAATTCAATCAGACACCATTTTCAGGAACAAAGCTGTAGGCCAGAAAAAAAGACAGTGCCAAGAATATCTTCTCTTACCTTCTAGATGGTCATGTGTTACCAACCCTAGAGACACCATGAAGGCAAGTTTCTGCGCCAGAGAAACAAAAGAAGAATATACTTCAGTCCGGGTTCTCACAAAGCCAACTGCCAGTTCCCACTAAGACACCAGGAAAGCCAGCCGGGGGCGGGTCACTTGAATGCACAAAGAGCAGGCATTCTCTAAGGAGCCATGGAGATCCTCTATAGCTGGGTGTGCAAGCTCTTGGCTTCCTTCAGTGAGGGCCACATTGGAAGAAGAACTGTCTTGAGCCACACATAAAATATACTAATACTAATGACAGCTGATGAACTTTAAAAAAAAATCACAAATAAAAATCTCATGATGTTTTAAGAAAGCTTACGAATTTGTGTGGGGCCACATTTGAAGCCATCCTGGGCCGCATGTGGCCCATGGGCCACAGGTTAGAAACCTTGCTCTCGAGGCTCTCTGGTTTAACAGGGCCAAAAGAGAAGGACTGGGGCCTACATTTCCTTTCTCAATGACAGAAATCAGTATCTGTGTGATCTGAGTTCCCCACCCTGCAGAAAAATCCTCTTAAAAAGAACAGGATTTCATACTCACAAAACATGCAGAGGGTTTTAAAGAGCTTCCCATTTAACAAGCTCCAAGTTCTGAGTGTTTCACTTGTCATGACTAGGCCACAGCTTCTCACATTTATACTGCCACAATGCTAACTCACAGCTAAATGATTTTTAGGAATGACGGCAGGTGGTTCTGCTGAATGCTATGATTTTTCAATCACACATGAGCCTAAAAATTATGGAGCAATTTCTCTCTGAAGATCACTCTTAGGGCTCCTTCAGAAGCTAAGCTGGTGAAAATACTGGGCCCTAAAGATGCAATGCTAAGACTCTTCAAGCCAGAGAGGGCAACCGACTGATTTCTACTCATTTCTTTGTTTGCATGTGTTCTGAAAAGCGTGTCTTCATTTTCTGTTGTACTACTGCATGCAGTTTCTAAATACGCCAAATAATACATTATCAATTTCTTTCTCTGATGAATAAAGAACACCTTCAATTGTAAAAGACATACTCCTGTAGAGTTATTTATGCCACAGTTTGATCTTTAAAAGTCCTGACATCTTATTCTTGATATTACACTACTTTGGCCTGAAGTGATAGGTTCAGCCTATTTGAAGATAAACTTCTTGAGCAAGCCACTTGAGAACACAGAAATGTCCTTTACTGGTATCTTCAGAGTCCTGAAGAAATGTTTTTATATTATTTCTTTTTTTTTTTTAAAGACGGAGTTTCGCTCTTGTTACCCAGGCTGGAGTGCAATGGCGCGATCGTGGCTCACCGCAACCTCCGCCTCCTGGGTTCAGGCAATTCTCCTGCCTCAGCCTCCTGAGTAGCTGGGACTACAGGCACGCGCCACCATGCCCAGCTAATTTTTTTGTATTTTTAGTAGAGACGGGGTTTCACCATGTTGACCAGGATGGTCTCAATCTCTTGACCTTGTGATCCACCCGCCTCGGCCTCCCAAAGTGCTGGGATTACAGGCTTGAGCCACCGCGCCCGGCCCTTATATTATTTCTTATTTCAAAAAAACTTAGATGAGCACCTATCCCCTTGACAGCCAGATCAGTCTAGTAAGAAAAAGCAGTCTTGGACTTTCCTGTGGTTTTTTTTTTTTTTTTTTTTAAGACGGGGTTTCACCATGTTGGTCAGGCTGGTCTTGAACTCCCAACCTCAGGTGATTCGCCCACCTTGGCCTCCAAAGTGCTTGGATTACAGGCATGAGCCACCACGCCCAGCGTGACTTTCCTGTTTTCTAAACTATGTTGAAATGAGATACACTTTATGACTACCAACTGACTACATTCCTAATTTTCACTATTCCTTAGAAATATAATCAAGATCAACAGGCCTTCCCCCAGCTGCTCTCTTGATAAAGCAGTGTATAGACCGACATTCAGATTCACCCTCTTTTAAGCAAGTAACAGCACCCTTCTTAGCCACTCACACCCAAATCATCTTTGCCAGTTTAGATCAAGCTCACAAAATAATTATTAAGTGAAAAAACATTTCCTCTCTTGTGGAAAAGTTTTTGATGATACACTAAAAAGCTGTCAAGAAATTTTACCTCACATATGTATCCCACATATGCTAAGAGCTAATTTACTTTGTTTATGACTGTGATTCTGTCCAACTAGAAGGTGAAATATCTGCTACTACACATGATGGTACTCGCTTGCCCACACTGGGCCTCGCTCCGTCACCTAGGCTGGAGTGCAGTGGCACCATCTCAGCTCGCTGCAGCCTAGGCCTCCCAGGCTCAAGTGATCCTCCTACCTCAGCCTCCTAAGTAGCTAGGACACAGGCGTGCGCTACCACATCTGGCTAATTTTGTTTATTTTTTGCAGAGACAAAGTCTCACTGTGTTGCCCAGGATGGATTCTTCAGTTTCCTTTGACAGGGAAATTTTGCTCAATTTTTCCTCTTCAAAGTATAATATTTGTCATCAATTCTTTGATGATTTCACAAGTTCCTCAGCAATTTTTGTGACTAGTACTTCTTTTTGGCTCAAATTTTAGTCCTCTTTTTAAAGATAAAATTAAAAATTCATTCATTTCATATCAGAAAGAATTATATTTTGTACTTGTTTTAGGAAACCTGGAATGGCTCAATAAATTACTGCTTTAAAAAAATGACATGAAGCTTTGATGGCTTCATGCCACCATTTCACATGGTTTCATTACAAAAAATGCACTGAGGACAGAGGCAAGTGAATTACTGGTCAAATGAAATCTAACTGTCAGATATTCATCATCATATTACCTGTCTACATTTTCCATTTATAGCTGCTTATGCCAAAGCATCAAATTAAAAAAATTTGTTTGTCTAAGGACATACAGATTCACATTCTATATTTGTATCAGGGTCTTCTTTGCTATTTATGTTTATAATTCTATCCTAAATTGTAGTATAGATGTTACTATTTTCATCCTTACTTTTATGCTTCAATGGATTACTTTTGAGCTACTGATTCATTTGGGATTTGGGGTTCTAATGCAATATAATGGTTATACCAAAAATGTACATTTAATAACTGTAATTGATAATATAAATACACATTAGCTGAGTGAACTGGACATCTTAAAAATGTTGGCTGAGGCCGGGCGCGGTGGCTCAAGCCTGTAATCCCAGCACTTTGGGAGGCCGAGGCGGGTGGATCACAAGGTCAAGAGATCGAGACCATCCTGGTCAACACGGTGAAACCCCGTC